ATTTCAAATTCAAATTTTGCATAGTTGTCAATCATTCAATGCTAATAGCATATACACTGTCAATGTAGGAAATATTAATCCATATATTTATATAATAACAATCATATAGCATTTATTTCATATTATACATATATATTATACTATGTCAAACTTTGATATTTTTGAGATCTATTTTGTTAGATCTCAAGTTGATACATGGAGTTGAAACAGTAATTCATTAAGTCAGGTGGGAGAAGACATGCACAGACATTTGTTGGGTTAAAGAGATTGATATCATTTTAAATATGTTAGTAATTAATAATGTAATATATTTTACTTTGCGTATCTCTAAATCTTTTTTTTTTTAATCTCTAAATCCTTTACATCTTTCAAATCTATTGTTTTTGTGATATGTCCAGTGATGTATTTTCTACTACTAGTGCCATATGATTTTTATCAAAAAGTAACCTTCCTCGATCTTAAACTTTATAAAAATAAAAATGAGTTAAATGGAAAAAATATATGACCACTGTAGACGATTTAGATAGGTGTTGACATGTGAACCTTTGATTTCCATACAAATTTCATTTAAGTTCCTCCTAATCTCTTTTAAACATTTATTGTGGACATTTTTCTTCTTCTTTTAAGAAAATCTTATAGAGTGGTTAGCGTTTCATATTCAATGAAAACAAAACGATTGACAAATTTATTATTTGATAGTCTGAGAATCTCAAAATACTTCAATCATCCACCACAAGAATTTAATTCAAGAATATTTCCTATTCCACTCCCACCATTGGGATATTCTGATCGATGTGTTTTTTCATTTTAGTCATAAGGTAGTTGGGGGGATGGATACTTATTAGTCAAGACCAAACAGAGAATTTTAATTGCTCCATTCATTTTGCTAATGAAAATATTCATTTATCATCATATTAGTAAAAATAAATGCTAGAATTGTCAACAACGCGTGCGCCTATCGAAGAAAATATTCGCTTTTGTGTCGACATCAATGATTGTATAAATCGTGCAAATTTCAAGGTTCGGTTGAGAAGACTCGCCTTTTGGAGGAATTCATAGGACAACAACAACACAACAAACGCAAAAAGCTTTTCGTTAGAATTGAAATGAATATAAAATTTTTTTTGGGTGGTCATATAATACGCTCATAAAAGTCTCCACAGTATCTTTTTGCGCAAAAAATTAATTTCTTCCCTCCAAACTTTATTCAAGATGTCTCCAGTCCCAAAAGGCTTCTAGAGAGTAGAGACATGTATGCGTGCCACCCACTTTCTAATCACATTGATAATAACTCAGCTCTGAAGGTCATATGTTTGGTAAACTATACTAATCGTTTCAATTATTTGTCCAGAATTTAATTGCAAAGATAGTAGTCTATTTTTTAATAGTTGTATTAATTTCTCCCAGTTAAAAGAAAGTTTTTATTTTGATGATTTTGCCTTTATATTTTCATACATGATCTTCAATTTATATGCTATGGAAATTACAATTAAATTTTTGCTTAAATTAATCTTCAATGAAGCTAAACTTAAAAAGAGAAACAATAATGTACAAATGAGGCTTATGTAATGCATGAGAAGAACAAGATTCATGCCTCTTGTGATGAAACATCATTCATGCTTTGTTGGTCTTACTACCTTTAGCTAGGTGTATTGAGTGGCAAGTAGGAGGAATTGTAAGTCGGAATTTTTAGATTCAAGACCTCCAACTTATCCAAAAAAAAAAAAAATTCTTTAGTTGGGTTTGGTTTCCTTGTAATATTGATAGTGGAATATAATATTATAATTGTGACATCGGAATATTGCATTTGTGATTTTACTTAGAATTAGTCATTTCTACACCATCAGTGTATATATTAACCGGTTTAAATGTATGCCACATCATTTTAATTTGAATTTGAATACCAAACTTTATATATATGTCATGCATCTAGACCCACTACTTTTTATACTAACAATGCATAAAAGACTTGTCCTTATTTAATAAAAATAATATTTACAAATTAATAATTTTGAATACAATATTTATGTTAGCTATATGTACAATAGATTTGTAGAATTTGTCGTTTTACATTATAAATTATCCTAATTCAACTAATGCCAAATTAAAAAGGAGTGAAAAGACTTCTCCAATTTTTCTCTTCTTCTTCTACTCTTTCCAAAAGCCTTCCCTTAGGGAGAGAGACCACACCATGGTCTCCCTCCCATGAATTTCATTTTATTTTATTTTTATTTTTCTAATAAAGTATCTTCTAAGTTTTCTTAGTTTTATTTTTCTTAGGAATTCCTAGTGAGAATTTTTTGTTCTTTCTAGAAATTTCTCTGGGGATTTAGGAATTTTTTTTTCTTATTTTGTTGTTACATCTAAATTTGTTTCAGAATTGGTTGTCAGATGTGAAATTTTTTGGATCTTGAATCTATTTCGATAGATCTCATCATCATTATTGGAGTTTCAAACTGTTGATTAGCAGATCTGGCGATTACAACATGCATAGATGGGAGCTGCAGTGATTTATTTATTAGAAGACAAGTGAGAAATTTCTCATATATTTTTTAGATTAATTGACAATTTTTCAGATCTATTATATCTGTTAAATTGTAGTTATAGATCTTAATTTCTAGTGCATGTTTAAACTATCATTAGGGTAGTGATATAAATCAATTCGAGCTGGACGATTTCCAGCAAGACATTAATGAAAATTTTTTTATAAAAAAAGGAGTGAAAAGACCTACTTGCTTCTTTTTTAGTAACTCTTTAGCACGTAGCTGGATGATTAAAATTTGTATGTTAAATCTCTAACTAGATTGTTATTAACCTCGCTGTTCTTGGGGAGATTCACGAAGAAGAACATGATTATGAGATTTTTTTATATATATAATCTTCAAAAACGTTTCTAACTAAGATTAACTCCACTTTGTAGTCTCAAACTTGTGCCACTTTTTCACTTTGCACTTTAAACTTCAATTTTAAATACTTTATACCCTAACCTCTCAAGTTTGGACACTTTGTATTCTAAACTATCAACTTTATCTCATTTTAAGTCCAATCAATGATAATGTTAGCAAACTAACAAGGTAAAGGATAATGAAAATTAATGACAATGTGTTATTTTATTCTAGCTACCATCTTGGCTTCTTTGGACTACTTTCGGTACATTGACATTGATTTGTATGGTCCAAATTACTAATAGTATTAGTAAAATTAACTAGATAAAGGACGGTGTGAATTAAGAACAATATATCATTTTGTTTTAACTGCAATACCTTGGCTTTTTTTTTATCACTTTTAGCACGTTGTCATTGATTTGCAAGGTCTTTTATGCCGTTAATTTTGCTAACATTATCATTGATTGTACTTAAGTAGGATAAACTTGAAAATTTAGGGTGTAAAGTGTCTAAAATTATAAGTTTAGGATGTAAAGTGTTTAAAATTAAATTTTAGAGAAACAAAGTAAAAAAAAAAAGTAGTCCAAGATAGAGGGTGCAGAGTAGACTTAGTCCTTTTAATTACTATTTTACTAGTATGAATACCTGTACTGCGCACGGTACTGACATTATTGAAAGAAATTAAAAGGGGATGTAGTGCTGTTATTCCAATCGGGCAGCTCGCGAGCCGGGCTCGACCCGGCTCGTTAAGGCTCGAACTCGACTCGTTTATTAGAATAAACGAGCCGAGTTCGAGCCTAAAGACTGCTCGTTAATTAAACGAGCCGAGCCGAGCTCGGCTCGCGGGCTACCCGAAAGGCTCGAATTGGAGGGATAAAAATGTCAATTCATTAATTATGGCTATTTCAGTAAAATACTTCCAGTTTTCCAGAGTCAAACTCCCGAATCCCTAATCCCTAATTCTTCATTCGCTCATTCTTCTTCCGCCTTCACCTCTGGGCTCTGCTCTAATATCTTCCGTCCAGACTTTGGCCCTCTCTTCGGCTCTGCTCTAATATCTTCCGTCCAGACTTTGGCCCGTCAGGCGTCAACCCTAAATCACCATTCACCCATCGATAATGGCTCTAGCAAGGAGCAGCAGCAATCGCTCTTCAGAGGAGCTGACTTGTCGGCTGTCGCACCAGCCCACCGCCTTGGTTGCGCAAACACCAGCCGCCACCTGGTGAACCCGTGTATTTTTCTGTACTTGATTTCTGATTTTGGAGTTACATACATATAGAGCTGAGATCCAAAAAAAAAAATTAAGGTGCATTATCTTCTTCCATTTGGTAATTAGGATTTAGGGATTTTGGTATTTTGCTAAAATATTGTGCTTTTGAGGGGTTATTCGGATGTGGCCTGTGGGTTTTGTTATTTTAATGAATGTGAAATTGAGATCACCATTCTGTACTCCGTTACCGTGCTTCTGTTTGTGAACCAAGTGTAACGCAGGTCACAGGGATGCATGAATACTGAAGTTTTTATGGTGTGTGAATTGTGAAGGAATTTTGGACTAACACTAGATACGACTTCCAAGGAAAAGTTTGCAAGCTAATGATGGTTCGAGGATTCTGCATAGCAGCCTCAGATTTCAATACTCAAAATATTTGCTAAAATATTGTGCTAAAAGATTGTGGAGACAGGTAGTATTTTGAAGATTTGACAAAACCTTTCCATGGAGGGGCTGCTAAAGAAACCAAAAAGAAACTTTGAAAATGACACGAAAAAAAATATGCAGCCTATAGATAGTGGATGTTGACTAGTTTATGTTTGACTGGTTGAATCTTTTAAAAAATTTTGTCCATTACAGTACATTAGTTTCTTTGTTAATCAGTTTATCCAATTTTTCATAAACTCTTATTTCTACCACATGACCAACTAGATGAATTGATTGCTTAATCAGTTTATGTAGATTGCTTGGTGTCAAGTGGATTTGGCCTTCAATATGAGCAGTAATTATTTTTTCATATTGTAATAGATAATTGAAATTATTGGAATTTTTTTATTTATAATGAAATTTGACATGCAACCTTTGATTTATAATTATGCCTTAAATTTTTTTCTTAATATATAGGTATGTACAGCCCTCTTAATTCCCACCAAGGTTCATCTTCAAGTCCTGCTATGGAGCAATTAAATGAAGTAGTAGATCAAGAACTGGATATTGAAGAAAATCCGGATGAGATGACTGAAGATGAGTTAGAAATAATAGAAGAACATGACAATGAAGGAGGAGGAGTAGGAGAGCAAAAAGGTGATGGCGGAAATGAAGAACCAGCAATGCCCTTTGAGAAAAAGCAAAGGAAAAAGAAATCAACGGTGTGGGACGATATGAAAATTGTGAAGTTAGACAATGGAATAGAAAAGGTGCAATGCAATCATTGTAAGGAGTTATTTGCCAAGAGTACAACTGGAGCTACATCTCAACACAAGCGTCATCTAAAAGCATGTTTACAAAAGAAGATGGCAATGGGAGAGCAAAATAGGATGAAACAGCAAGTGTTGTCTTTTACCGAAGGGCCATCTGATGGAATTACTTCGATCACAAATTTTTCATATGACCATGCCAAGGTACGGGAGCTTGCTTCTCATATGGTGCTTGCACATGAATACGCATTTTCTATGATGGATCATGTTGTATTCAATAAATTTATGAAAGTTGTGTCCCCATTTTATAAAAAGATTACCCGGCAAACTGTCAAAGAGGATTGCATTTCTACTTATCAACTGGAAAAAAGAAAGCTGAAATCTGTATTAAAGAGTGCTAATCGAGTTAGCATAACTACAGATTTATGGAAATCTGGTCAAAAAATTCAATATATGGTTGTAACAGGGCATTTTGTTGATTCTGATTGGGTGTTACAAAAACGTGTGTTGAATTTTTGTAATGTGCCACCTCCTCATACGGGAGTAATTATTGCTGATGCTTTGAGTAAATGTTTTATTGATTGGGGGATCGAGAATAAAATTTCCAGCATCACAGTAGACAATGCTTCTTATAATGATGCTTGTGTTAGGAGACTTAGGGAGGATTTTTCTCTAAGAAAGAGGTTAAGTATTGCTGGAAAAATTTTTCATGTGAGGTGTTGTGCACATATACTTAATCTTTTAGTGCAAGATGGCCTCAATCAACTAGGTGATGTGATTGATACTGTTAGAGAGGGGATCAAGTACTTGAACAACTCTGAGGGTCGCCTAAATCAATTTGCCAAAATTGCAAAACAGCTACAGTTGCCCTCTAGGAAATTGATTCTAGATTGTCCAACTAGATGGAATAGCACATATCTCATGTTGGCTTCGGCTTTGGACTTCAAGGACGTTTTCCCGAGATATGAGGACATTGACCCTGGGTTTCACTATGTTCCAAGTGATTACGAGTGGTTGCAAGTAGAAGAAGTGTGCCGATTTTTGGGTATTTTTCATGAGATCACTAACATGATTTCTGGATCCGACTATCCAACTTCTAACATCTTTCTTGTGGAGCTTTATAGGATTAAAGAGCTTTTAAATGAAAAAGCTCTTGATATTTCTGATCAAATTAGGGCCATGGCTTTGAGCATGTCAGCAAAATTTGACAAATATTGGGGAGAAACCAATGTGGTGCTTTCGTTAGGTGCTATTGTTGATCCAAGGTACAAAATGGTACTCATTTATCATGCTTTTCCGATTATTTATGGTGAGGAAGAAGCTGCTGTGAAAATTGATGAAATTAAACAGCTTCTTTATGAGCTTTACAATGAATATGTTGATACTCACTTCTCCTCCCATGCCGGGGAACCACCGAGGCAGTCGGTAAAGCGTAAACATAAGGAAGTGAGTAGTTCTTCGGCTCAATCTCTGGGGAATGTTAAGAAACTTGGACTTCCAATTCTTACTGGCAAGGAAAAATTTCAAATGCATGTTAGTGAAATTGACAAGGCGCCACCTGAAAAATCAGATTTAGATATTTATTTAGAAGAAAGTAGGTATGCTTGTGACGCATCTGCTAATCTGGATGTCTTGGGGTGGTGGAAAGGAGAAAGATGGAGGTTTCCAATATTGTCAAGGATGGCTAGTGACTTACTTTCTATTCCAGTTACAACTGTGGCTTCTGAATCTACCTTTAGTGCTGGGGGAAGAGTAATTGATGATCGGCGAGCTTCTATGTCTGTTGAGACAGTGCAAATGCTACTTTGCGGTAGTAATTGGATTCGCAATCTTCATGGAATAAAAACCAAGTCTCGTGTAAGTGTATTACACTTTCTAGTAGTAATATGTGGTTAATTGATTATTTTACTTCATCTTTTATCTCTATAGCTCTTATTTTTAGAGAATATCGTGACTTTGAGTCTTTGACATTTTTATTTTGTAGGATCAATCTGATGTTGCCGAGTCATCTACGTATCATGAAGTTGAGCTTCCTCAAAATTGAAAGAATGCTAAATTTTAGAAATTGCTGCTGCTGTCCTTTGGTATTCTACTTCATTTTTTTAGCTCAGTAGCTCTTACTTTTAGAAAATATCATGACTTTTACATTTTTATTCTGTAGGATCAATCGGATGTTGTCGAGACATTTTACGTGTCATGAAGTTGAGCTTCCTCAAAATGAAGGCTAAATTTTAGAAAATTGCTACTGCTGTTGCTCTGTAGCTCTTATTGTTTGCTGTCTTTTAGACTTGATTATTGCTTTGATGTTTGTTGTAAGTGAACAAAATATGAGTACTTGACTACTTGTGAATTCTCATCAGCAGCCACGGCTGAGGTACTATGAATGCCAAAGTGAATTCTCATCAATTTAGAGGAGTAATTTTCACATTTCTAAGTTGCTGGACATTCATACCAAGTCAAACACGGCTCTTTTGACTGTTGGACTGATAGAAAATTACATATGCTCTCTTTTGGTGGGACTGCTTGATCTTTTCTCTTTTGCTAAATTGGATTAAATCCATAATCCCCACTCAGCAACAAATATGTATGCCAAATTTGCATCTTCTGAATGGTTACAGACTTGCAGTGAACAGATGGCTGCTATGGTAAATATTTCGAGCTCGAGCTCGAGCTTAACGAGCTCGGCTCGATTGTGTTAAACGAGCCGAGCTCGAGCCGAGCTCGAGCTAAATATAGAGCTAACGAGCTCGAACTCGAGCTAGTTATTCGACTCGACAATGTTATCGAGCGAGCTCGAGCCAGCTCGAAATTCGTACAAATCGAGCTCGAACCACTACTACTCGGGCTCGGCTCGACTCGAATAACAGCTCTAAGGGGATGTGAATTAAAAAAAAAGTAAAAAAAATTGTACCAACATAATTAAAATTTAAGATTTGTCTAACAATAGTTCAAAGTATAATAAAATGTGTTCATCATTCAAAAACTACGTTTGTGTGGAAGATGGATTTTGAAATAATAATAGAAATTTATATTAAAAAATGAATTATATATGGATAGAAATAAATATAATCACATGTTTTATTTGATTTCAAAATGAAATAGTTACAAACATTACGAATTCGGTTTGATAATCTTGTATGAAAGCCAATATTGGTGGTTTAATTAACTCCATTGAATTTTGTGAAATTCGTACTATAAAAAAATGTTCAGCGAAACTTGTCTTTTTTAAAAGTGAACTTGTTGAACCTTTTGAAGTATTTTAGTGGGATCATTGTGGTGTAGACTTCATTTTATAATCAGTTGTTTTCTTCTTTACAATCTTGCAAGTTTGTAATTGAAATGCTATTAAAATCAATGACGGAGCCAAGACGGGCTGATTTTGGGGGGGGGGGAGAGGGGGTCATGGCTCCCTTAAGTTTTGAAAATTTTAATTCATAGTGTATAAATATATGTGTAAAATAAAGTTGGCCCTCCCCCTTTATTTTTTACAATTTCAGTTTATATTATGAGAGTTTCATCTTTGAATTAATTCTTTTCGCTAAAAAATTATTTATTTTTTACATAACTTTATAATTAAAGTTAATGTTTGATATTTTTAGATGTCATGTATTTAATAGATGAAAAATATTTTGAACATAACATATTAAGATAATCTTGTTAAGAAAAATTTTGGCCTCCTAGAAAAAAATCCTAACTCCATCACTATTTGAACTGCTTGTAGAGTTATAGGTGGGATTTGTCCAAGGTGAGAGTATAGTATGAGGTCTTTTTTCTCACTGTATTTGGTTTGTGTGGAAGACAAATGAAAATTGGTTAGTGATCATCAGCTCTCCCCAACCCTATACTCCTATCTCTATACTCCTTTTACTACTTAGGTGGCGCTTGGTTCGCATGTTGGAATCAGATTCGGATTCGGAATCATTTATCCTGGATCTGGAATGGAATCAATCATTCCAATACATTTGTTTGGTTTAGTGCCAGGAATGTATATCATTACTATAGTTGATGTTTGGCTCGTTGACTTTTGTAATTGGGATATTAGAAATTTTCACTAATTAAATATTTTAGTATAAATGTATTAGTAAATTTAGTATAGCTAATTAATAATTTCTATTAATAAACATGTATAATTATTAGTATAATTGATAATATTAATTATATTACATAGATTAATATATATTATATAATACATATAACTAATGATATCATTATTATAAGTTTGTAACTAATTAAGTTAAATATTAGATATATAATTAAATATAATTATACAAATGCTATAGTATAAATGTATAATTATAATTATATAATATATATAAATATTAATTATACTAATATTTTATATAATTATAATGTATGTTATATATTAAATATAATAATTATTATATATTATTATATTTAAAATAATAAATATAATTATAATTATATAATTTATTAATATTATATACATGTATATATTATAATTATATGCACATATAATATACATTTATAAATATATATATAAATATATTATTATATGGTATTAATAAATTTATAATATATATTATATAAATATAATTACATTTAATTAAATAATTATAATATATATTTATATAATATATTATATATGTCTATATAATAATTATAAATATATTATATAATTATACTAATATTATAATAAAATATTATAATTATAATATATATTATATACATAATTATATATATATATGTCATATATAATTATATATGAATTTTTTTAATGGGTGGCGAGACCGGCCCCATTTCTAAATGGGAATCAGACTTGGATTTTGTCCAAAACCCACAAAGTTACTAGGGAATTGAGGAATTCTAAATTTTTAGGTATGATTCCAAAATCTCGATTCCGATAGTAGTAATCCAAACAACAATTATGAGATTTATTCCAATTCCCCATTCCGAAATCCTTTTATCAAACGCCACATTAGAATTCGTTACCTTACTTTTACCCTTCCCAATGCTATGCTCCTATACTTCTATTCCTTTTATTATTTAGGATTTATTATCTCACTTTTCAACTTTTTTTTTCAAATAAAACATTAGAATTATAGTCGTCAAGAAAAAGTAATTGGGTATAACTTTGGTGAAATACTACTATTTTTGGGTAACGACCACCCAAGATGATTGTTTAAACAAATATTTGTTTTAAAATTTTTAATAAAAACTCCAAAAACAACCATCTAAATGCCCCTTTTATTAATTTAAAATTCATATAAAATTTTGTTTTATGTGCATTTTTTGAAAGACGTGATATATGAAAAATTATCCTGATGGGATTTGTCCATGTGAAAAATTATCTAGGTACCTTGTATGTCACAATATTTATTTCATTGGTTGGAATAATCGTTTAATAGGATAAGTTTAAGGCTAAAAAATTGATTTAGTTGCAATAGGTAAAATGGTTAAAGAATGGCTATAATTGAATATATCATTTGAATGTTTGACAAATCTATAGGTTTGTTTGGATAGAGATTTATTAGCCAAAATTTATTTGCTTACATCATCATTACAATTTTCAATGCACCTTTTTATCTTCCCAATTACCTTTTTATCTCACAGACATCACATCACAAAAAGTGCTACAGTAAAAATATCTCAAATAATTTACAATCCAAACAGAGCCTATGTATATGCGGGGAAGGAAAGTGCTACAAATATTACTATATAAATGATTAAAAAATGGGACTAATCATATTATTCCTCATATTGTACTTTTGCAAAGGCATATTTAACATTTTTTCCTATTCTTTAATTTTCATTTTTTAATTTTGGTTAAATTTCATCCTACTACATTATGACAATAAGATGCATAGAATTGTGAAAATTGTTATTTAAACAGGCTCCTAAATTTTGGATATGTAATTTTCGTAGTGGTGAGTTTTTTAAATTATCAGTTAGTTATTACTATCAGTCATGTTGTAAGTTTTAAATGTGATTTGGGGTAAGTGTTAGATGTGATTTGGGATTTGCAGATGAGATTTTGCAGGGATGGTTATTATCCGTTAATTAAAATTTTGGAGTTTTGATTTTATGGGTTAGTGGATCACGTAAATTAAAAAGTAAGAAGGGGTAAGCATTATTGAATTAAAATAAATCTAAAATTGTAGTAAATTGGGATTCAGATTTCTGACGGTTGTGGAGGCTTCTCGTAAAAAACCTGCTCTCTAATACATATAGATATAGATATAGCTGTTCTTAATTACCTTTTTAGTTTTCATATATCACATTCTATATTCTATAAAGTACTTGGATTATCATTTTTTAAAGAAATTATAAAAGATTAAGTCCAAACCAATTAGGCTAAGAAATAGCTTCTCATAGTGACGGATAGGAGTGTTCATCGGTCAGTAATTGAGAATTCAATAAAAAAAATTTTGATTTTTTTCCTCCAAAGTTAATATTTGATTTCGGTAATTGGATTTTAGTCGAAAAATTAGTTATTCAGTAAAATATCTAAATTTTTCAATCAAACACATCATGTACATAAGAATCCTTGGAAATATTGTATAACTATATAATATAAGTCATCCGTTTACATCTTAATTCATTAGTCATCACCATCAATACAACCATTAAAACTCTTAAAAATCAAGGCAAATATTTCGGGACATAACAAAATTGCTAGTAGGCAATAGCAACCTAGAGCTGCAAGTATGGGAAAATAGAAGGATAAAAAAGAAGGCAACAGCCCTTGCTTTGCAAGCCCCAAACTTGCTGCATCGCTTGCTTAATTAGTATAGAAAATGACCAAGTCTGGAGCCAAAAATAGACCAACCAATACAAGGACTAAAACTTTTGCAATGAAATGGGTGGTTCATCAAAATTAAAGTACCAGATATTTAAAATTCACATTTTGTAAGTCACAAACATAAAACAAACATACTAAAACAATAAATGTCATTCGACAGGTTTAAACACTATCACAACAGGTTTAGACTCTTAGCCCTTGAGGAAACAGAGCACGACTTACGGAATTAGCAGAGGCGTGAAATTGGATTTTGATTTTTATTGATGCATTATACTATTATAGTC